ACCCGCTAGCAGATGTCTCTTACCGTGACCTGCTGGAGGATTCTCTTAAAGGCCTCCGATCTGCGCTCTCTCTATTGCGTCACCGCGCCGGATGCCAGAGGTGGCTTCATTCGGAACGTCGGCAGATGGCTTGATTTGGATCTAGAACAGGGGGGAAATAAGGAATTTATTGTACGCGTGTAAATATAAAACAAAAAAACTCACGCAGACCAACACGCACATGCGCGCACGCACGCACGCACACGCACACTCCACTCTCTCACTTCTCACTTTCACTCTCTCGCTCTAAACTCTTCTTTTGCTCTCCCCCCCCATAGCTCTCACACCTCACTACTCTATAACTCTCTCTCTCCTTCTCTCTCCTCACTCGTCCTCTCCTCTCCGTCATCTCTCTCTCCTCCTCTCCTCTCCTCTCTTCCTCGACCTCCTCTCCTCTCACTCTCCTCTCTCTTCCCTCTCCTCTCTCCTCCTCCCTCACTCTCATCTCTCCTCTGTCCCTTTCGGTGTCATCCCACTTACTCGTCCTCTCTCACCTCCGCTGCTCACGCTTTGCCCTTACTTCCTCCCTAGTGACCCTTCAACCCGTCGCTAAAACGTCTTCAATTTACGTTTCTATAATTCTAGGTCTATTTTCCTATTGGTGTGTCAGCCCAAGTCGTTTCTAACGGCCGGTTGTTAACTAACTGTGAGGGCCGACCCAGTTAATTTTCATAAATAGACGCAGAAATATATCTAATATGTCATGACATAGATATTTGCCCGTTTATATGATGTTAGACATCATTTATGTCTTCATTTATACATGTCGAGTATACGAATATTCTAACAAATGCAGTAGGTCTTGCAGTGAGTATTCTGGAAAGGCAGTGTATCCCGTTTCTTGTCGGCCATATATAGGCTCGACACAGTGATTTAGCAGCCAGCGGAAAGAAAACTTCCAGACAATTAGAGTGGCAGGGAAGAGAGCAGCTGGGCGATAGATGAAAAGAACATCAGGTGACAACAGGCAAACGGCCAAGGGGGTGACAAGAAAAGAGGCCAACAGGGTAACAGAATTGAAGCCAGTTGATTGATAGACAAAAGGGCATCAGCGTGACAGACAGGAGGCCAAAGCAAGCAACGGGAAGACTCGGAGGCCAGCTGAGTGACAGGCAAGGAGGCACGCGCGCCTTTGTTGTGAAAGTTCTTGTGGAGGGTCAGCGGAACGTGACTCATATGACCACGCCCACCGCCTGTCACCATGACGACCGAAAATATAGCATTGGTGAAGGAGAGGAGTAGGAGAGGGGAAGGAGAAATGGAAAGGGAAAGGAAGGGAATGGGAATGGGAGAAGAAAAGGGCGGAGGTAGAAGCGCTAAGCAAAATCAGATTTCGATAATTGGCTCTTTTTATATTTCCTTCCATTGTGAGATATTTTTAATTTCTATAAGATATAGATTTTTCCGTCAAGATAGGATGAATCAAGAAAAGAGTACCCAACGAAACCAGGCCAGATATTTACCGGCGTCTCACACCGATACGAGTCAATTTCCGGGAGGGAGAAAAGGAAAGCCACTGTGACTCAGTGTGAGAAGCGGCGGCGGGTGGGCGAGTGGGCGAGTGGGCGGGAGGAAGGAGGAAGGGCGGGGGAAAGGGCGGCGAGGGCGCTTCACTTTCAATCTCCGTTGTAATTTGTCACGGCCCGTGTTTCGTGATGACGCTACTGGACCGCTGTGATGGAGGAGAGGGGAGAGGGAGCAGAAACGGTAGCAGATGAGATCCGGGCCCTATTTCCTCTTACCGTCCTCGCTCCTTCCCTCTTCTTCTCTTACCTTTGCTCCCTCCTTTCCCTCCTTTTACTCCCTCCCTCCCTCCTTCCCTCCATCCCTCCTTCCCTCCCTGAGTCACAGTGAGTGAGTGAGTGAGTTAGTTAGTGAAAGATTCAGAGGTAGAGAGAGTGACAGAGTAAGAGATCCAGAGGCAGAGAGAGTGACAGAGTGAAAGATACAGAGGCAGGGAGTGACACTGAGAGATACAGAGGCAGAGTGACAGAGTGAGAGAGCGAGAGCGAAAAAGTAAGTGTAAGTGTTAGTGTAATGTCGGTTGATGTTCCTACCTTCAAGGACAACTAAAAAAAGAAAAAAAATCAATTTTGCAGCCATTATCGCCAACGGCTCCGCCACGCTTTTGATTGACAGGCCGCCGCCCACGTAGCGCCGTCTGCGTTGCTTGCTCTGCTGCGGTGGGCGTGTTAAGTATGCTTTTTTGGAGCTAGGTATGTGGAGAGCGGAATGGCTCGCCCGTATTTGCTTCGTTACTTCTACTCTGTTGGCTTTTTCCTTCTCCTCTTTCTTCTGCTTGTACTGCTGTTGCTTTTCCTTCTCCTCTTTCTTCTGCTTGTACTGCTGTTGCTTTTCCTTCTCCTCTTTCTTCTGCTTCTACTGCTGTTGCTTTTCCTTCTCTTCTTTCTTCTGCTTCTACTGCTGTTGCTTTTCCTTCTCCTCTTCCTTCTCCTGCTTTTCCTCCTCCGACTCCTTGCTCTTTTTTTTCTTCTTCTTCAACGGCTAACTCAACTTCAACTACAACTACTACATTGCCGCCGCCCCGCCACCGCCACCTTCTCCTCCCTATCTGCTTTGCCTTCATCTTCTACTTCTGCTTCTACTTCTAAATCTTCTCGTTTTTGTTTTTCTTCTGTTGTTTAGTTTTTGTTTTGATTTTATTTCTCATCGTCTTCCACCTCCGTCCATCCCTCACGCCCGTGTCTCATTACCCTTATCCGCCTCTTTTTTCATAATTCTGATTATTTTTCATTATGGTATTGGCGGATGGTGAACGAATTATAATAACAGTAGTATTGAAAAAAAAAAAAGACTCGTGGTAATACCGGTAATAATATTCATCATCATGTTCAATGTCCTTCGACTATTATCTCTATTGCTGCTGCTTTTACTTCTACGTCTACTTGTACCTTACTTCATCTATTTCTTTTTATTTATTTCATTATATCACCACCACCACCATTGCTATTGCTACTATCGCTGCTATTACGCAACACCATCGTCATTATGGCTACTAATACTGAACAACAACTACTATAACTGCTATGTGCTGCTACGTGATAATGAAACAAGTCACAGGTAATCGTGTAGTGACTCTTGGAGTTCTTTTCAGCTGGTCAGTTCTTCCATAGTCAGCTGTTCCCTTGCAATCATGCGAATGGACCCCCGCCTTGATGTACGTGTGCTTGATCTGATGCACGGACACGGACATGCAATAGCAACGTCTCTGCCTTGGGGCCGAACGTGCGTGCTTGTACTCATTTGCATACGCGTTTATTCTTGGACTCAGTCGATTTTTCTGTTGGTGGTAACTCGCTATCTCTAGTCAGTCACTAATTATGATTCTCTCTCTTTCCTCTCCTTTCTCTTTCTCTTTCTGTTTCTCTTTCTTTTTCTCTTTTTCTCTTTTTCTCTCTTTCTCTCTCTCTTTCTCTTTCTCTTTCTCTTTCTCTTTCTCTTTCTCTTTCTCTTCTCTTTCTCTTTCTCTTTCTCTTTCTCTCTTTCTCTCTCTCTCTCTCTCTCTCTCTCTCTCTCTCTTCTCTCTCTCTCTCTCTCTCTCTCTCTCTCTCTCTCTCTCTCTCTCTCTCTTTCTCTCTCTCTTCTCTTTCTCTCTCTTTCTCTCTCTCTTTCTCTTTCTTTCATATACGGGAAACTTACACTTATACATTTATTCACATATGCAGAGTTACACCTATACACATACGCAGTTAGTTTATGTTTTAACGGATTGTTGTTAACGAATCATTGGGTCCATAATAGGGCCGGAGGAAAAGAAAGAGAAAAATTGAGAAAATGCGGGAAGTAAGGATAGAAAATAGGAAGAAAATATATCGTTATGTTTTAGATGTAGCAATAACAAATACTAATACGATTTGGGAGTGCAGGTGAAAGGAAAGGAAAGGTGGGGCTTTACTGTAAATTTCAGCTTTAATGCTAACCCCTTTCGCCCACCTTCCCTTCGCAAACTCACTCTCTCTCTCTGTCTGTTCGGTCGTGTGGGCGGCGTGTGCGTCATTGCCAGCGCACCGCCTACTATTCTAGCCCTCCCTCCCTCCTACCCTCTTCCCTCCACCCCTCCCTCCTCCTTCCCCCCCTAGGAGGAAGGTAGGGAGGGAGGGGAAAGGAGGAAGAGGACCCGACGGGCCAAGGGGAGGGGGGGGGTATTCTCTCACGCCCACGCGGGATTGTCCGTGACCTTCATGCTCTCACCGCCGTGGCTGTGCTTGAAGTTGCCGTGGTGTGGCACTGGTAGCGACGGGAGGGGGGGGGGATAGTGGCCTGGTCTGGCCCTGTTCCACTGCCTGCGGATTCCTTGCACATTTAATTTCCTCTGAGGCTTCGAGGGACGACGTAGGTGGCCTGTTAACCGTCGGTGGTAGGATCTCCTGGGTATGTTCTCTCGACCGCAGGAACCGCCTTGCCGCTATCTCAGCCCAAGGCCAGTTGTATTTAGGTATCACTGTAGATCAGAGTTTATTGTTTATTCTCTGTTTTTAAGAGACCTGTCATTACTTTCATCGGTGTTTTAACGTGGAGTATCCACATAAAACCACTATTACAGATTTCACTTGGTGGCATAATGGCCCTCGTGGCGCGTTCGAGGTACATTTCCGTATGGAGTTGTTGTCTAATTGGCACCGAGGGGCAACCTTTGCATAACTTGCTTGTGTTTGGCAAGATTTTATCACGGTATTATAGGTTAGTCCCTCCCATCGGCGCGCGACAGGAAACATCGAGAGAGACGGAGTCAAAGAGACGACCAGAGACAGAAAAAGCAGAAAAACAGACGGAAACAGTTACCTAGATAGACAGAGACAGACAGTGACGGAAATGGGGACAGGACAGGTTATTGGTCTTACGAATGGAAATGCAAATGAATCATATTTGAATATAATTGAGAAAAGAAAAGAAAAAATATGAATGGTAGAGGCTGAAAAAAGATTTGGCCTTTCTGCGAT